CTGGTACAGTGGGCAACTACAAGTCCTGGATCCTATGATATGCTCGCGAAACATATTTGGAACAACAATACCTTCTTTCTATCCCCTAATTCTTACAATGACCTTAAAAATAGTATACTATGGGATAAGAAACAAAATGTTAAAGCTGCTTTCAGAAGGTATCTGTGCACCTCTTAGGATGATTGTAAATAAATATTTTGTTAAGGGCGCTTTCCCCCTAATGTTAAAAATACCTGAGGTTTCTCCAATTTATAAAAAAAAGGGGATGAAAACCTCTCTGAAAACTACCGGCCTATTTCAATGTGAAGTTAAGCATGCTAATCTGTCAGATCATGAAGCTGTTATTTCTGAGCTTAAACTAAAGGGTGATATATGTTTTGATGCCAAAAGTAGATATGGTCGTCTTATTTTCTAAAACCAATTATAGTAAATTTAATTTAATGTTTAATAAATTTAACTGGAATTCTATTGGCTCAGCTGCGGATCCTTTTCGCGAGTTCTATGAGACAATAAAGATATTTTTCAATGCCCCTTTCCTAGACAAAAGATTAAAGTGAAAACTAAAAAACCGTGGATAACTAAAGGTATAAGAACATCCTGTAAAACATGCGTGCGTTGCATCACATCAAAAAATATTACTAAGATGGTTCTTTTATTTACTACTTGAATAATTACAGAAAGATTTATCCAGCAGTTATAAAGAGACCAAAAGATATGTATTACCGTTCTAGATTAGAAAATTCAGCAAACATAGCAAAGGAGACCTGGACCATTGTCAACGAATTAAGGGGTAAATACCATACCAAAACTTTGGAAGATCCTTCCAACTTTAGACCTCGCTTTAGACCTATTTCTCTTATTCTCACATTAGGTAATAATTGAACAGCTGTTAAAAACTCGTCTAACAAGTTTTTTTAGCTCCAACAACATAATAAGCAGTAAACAGTTTGGCTTTAAGAGTAAAACTAATACTTCAGATGCCATATTTAATTGCCTAGAGAGAATCTACAATAATATTAATATAGGTGATGTAAAAACATTCGATTGTATAAATGACGGAGTACTGTTGCAAAAACTTTCCTATTATGGAGTCAGAGATGAAGGAAGGAATCAACTAGTCAGAACTAGTTACTCTTCCAGTATAATAAATGTAACCTGGGGTGTACCCCAAAGGTCGGTGTTAGGTCCCTACCTTTTCCTAATCTACATTAATGATTTATCACTGATTGACATTTCTGGAAACTTCACTCTTTTTGATGACGACGCTACTGTCTTATGGAATTGCAAGGATATAGATACTTTACACAATATTGTTGCATCTGATATCCAGAAAATTAAATTATGGTGTGATTCAAAATTTTTTAGTCTAAATCTGTCCAAATCTAAATTGTTAACCTTTAAATGTTTAGTTCCAGAGCTACATTTAGGAAGCGATCTACTAAAAGTAGATAATAGAAGTAAATTTCTTGAACTGAATATAGATACCGACTTGAAATTTAAGAACCATATTGAAATTTTAATTAAAAAGATATCATCTAGCTGTTTTGCTCTCAGATCTACATGCAAAGAGCTAGGATTCACTTCAGCAAGGAATGTTTATTTTGCACTGATAGAATCTAAGATATGGAATTCAGTTTTGGGGATCCTGCAGCAAAGATCTCTTCCATAGTGTCAAGTACAAAGCCTTTGTTCTTGCAAACCACTTGTCCTTAAACACAAAATATTAACTTTAACCTCTTTATATCTGTTAGAGACTATTTGCTTAATATATAAGAACAGATCTGCTTACAACAACAATCGTACATGGCAAAATGCAACCAATTTATACCTGCTTACTCCTAAATCTACCCTAGTTAAGGACTCGCTTATCTATAATGGCATCAAAATGTATAATAGACTCCGTATTGCCATAAAAAACTAAAGTTCGCCTAAATCTTTTAGGAAAAAACTAGCTTGTAAAGCATACTATGACTTAACAGAATATTTTAACGACGACTCACCTTGATAATTTCTTTCAAATCTGTTTAATTAAAGCGACACCTGAAAAACTATATTTTTATTATGTAATGTTTATATCTTTATTTTATATGTATATGTGTATTAGAGTTAACTTATAATGTATTGTTTATTTATTTGTTTGTCAACAAGATTTTACCTTAGACAATAAACGCATATTCTCCCTCTCCCCCTCCCTTTCCATCTCCCGCTCCCTCCCCCTCTACTGAACATACAACGATTTGGCTTCAGAAAGAATCTTTCTACAATAAATGTGATCACACAGCTGGTGACTGATATAGTAAATGCCTTCGAAATTGTAGACATTCTATGCTATCTGCCCTCTGCTGCGACCTTTCGAAAACACTACTTGACTGTGTCAATCATAACTTCTTGTTAAATAAAGTTATATCCGATTGTATATGGGACAAAGGACTAGACTGGCTAACAAACTACCTAACGAATCGATATCAATTTGTAACAATGAACCATATAAGATCGGAAACAAATTAATCAAAGCGTGCGTACCACAGGGATCAATTATTGGTCCAATGCTATTTTTATGTAAATGACCTTCCATTCCACATGAAATCAACATCTTCCATCATATATGCAGACGCCACTACCTTTTACCATTCAAGTAAACAAAAAGATATACTCAAAAGAGTTTATGAAGAAATTATAGATATATCTCAGGCTTGGTTTTTAATGAACAACCTTAAACTCAATGCAGATAAAACCGTTAAAATAATATTCACTCTCAAAGATCTTCCTGCCATGATGGACCATACGAAGCTTTTATGCATCACGCTAGACAGTAAGTTAGACTGGAAGCAACATATAACCCATTTATCAAAGAAATTTGCAAGCACTCTATATTTACTTAGGAAACTATCATCTAACATCCATACTCAACCTTTTTTTCCTTCGGGCCATATACAAATGATTGCTATGTTACACGGTCCGCAATATTTTTGGATGATGCTCCTTTATTTAGGCCATCCATTTAAAATTAGTGGGAATCTCTAATAAATAAAACACACAACATAAATATATCAGGTTGGGTTACTGCAAAAACCAGCTAACTCACATTTTTAGATTTTTGAGAAAACACTGTTCAAAAGTTTAAAATTGAATAAAGAATTCATATAAGCTTTAAACTGTTTAATAAGCATTAACTCCAATGAAAAAAAGGTATTCAAAACATAATTAGTCTTCACAAATTATAAACTAAGAATCTATCCATTTGTAACAAAAAAAAAAGAGACAAAAACGTCACTTTGCTTATTTTAGATGTCTACATACAAGTCATAATATTCAATGCCTGTGTCATTATCTTCAATGGAAGGTTTAGATAGGTACCGTGTCTTTAACATTATTAGATACAGATATATTGTGATAATAATGTTGAAATTCATCTGATTTTCAAAGTTTTAGTAAATCTTTCTTCTTGGCATTACTAATGTCTTGCACTTTTTGTAAGTATTTTCAGAGCTTTTTTCCTCCCTTTTAGGCCGGTATGGCTTGGGTTTTTCGAGCAGTGTGAAAAGCGGGTGTTTCGATGATTATGATTTAAGAAGTGCTTCTGGTCGTTTTAACGCAAAAATAATATGAAGACGACTGTCATTATCCCCGCTTGTTACAGCTTGTTTGCTGTATCGTGGAAAGAAAGGGTGATGTAATCGATTTCGGACCAATCGAGAAAGGCTACAAACGGCTCTAGGCAAAACAAAATAAGTGGCTTGGGCAATAAGTATTTCAACAAATACATTCAACAAAAATAGTTCTGGCCATTATCTTGTTTTGACAGAAACACTATTAGGAATCGGACTAAATACATTTAGTAAAAATAAGTTATATGTCTCTTATCTGGTTTTAGTAGACACACTATTACCAACTGAACACAATGTTATAATTATATTTCGGTATAAATGCCACTCATCTTGTTTGTGTATAATGTGAATGTATTAAAATGGAATTAGTTTATCATGAATATAGCGTTCACACCGGTCTTGTTTATATCGTATATTATTTTGGGGACAAAACTCGAAAATGCCAAAAGTGTAACCACCTAGTTTTTGCAGTAACCGTATGATCCAAACGTTTATTTAAAAATTAGCATGATATTTAGAGCAGTGAACGATGAATGTTTTCGTGCATTTCGCTCAAAATTTCAAAAACAAACCTACAGTTTTAAAAAGCATCTTCATAATAAGTGTTTCTGGCCGCCAAAAAAAGCTTAGAGGATCGCAGGTTGAGTATGGCTGATCTAATACATCTACAGAAATATGTAGGACAGCCTACATGGGTTTATTCCATGGTCAGATATCTTATGGAATATTGCTCTGGGGCAGCTCAGTAGACTGGCACAAAATATTTATCTTACGAAAAACAGCTGTTAGGGCAACTGCTAAAAGACCCTTTAGAAACATGTAGACCTCTATTTAAACAATTTCAAATATTGACTATCCCATCACTATATATACTTCACTGACTATTATATGTAATGTCTAACATAAAAGATCTGGCCTTACCAGCCGATATTCATGATCATGATACTAGATCAAGAAATATACTACTCAATCAACCTATATACTACTAAAATCACATACTACAACATACTACTCAATCAACCTATATACTCTTTACAGGAGTTCTTTGATGCTTATTTGTCCATCAATAACTAATTAAACTACTATGAGTGTATTTTGAATCCTTTGTCTGTATTTTAATTTAAATTATATTTCTCTTTTGTGTGATAATGGTAAAAAATAGAAATGTTTTTGAAAAGCAAATAAAGAATTTTTATTTATATTGATATACAGGGTGAATCCTAAGTTGATACTTTTTTAGCTGTGTATAGAAGTCATAAAAATAACCAAAATGTTGATATCATTTATGCCGTTCCTTCCTAGCTCAAACCGTTGCCGATATAATTAACAAAAACCATGTAAAATCCTTTGGCTGCTATCGGCATTGCTAAAGTTGTGTTTATTTTGTTTCAGGCAAAGGCATGACCGAAGTGGGAGTCATCCGGAGCAGTCCGGACTCAGATTGCAACAGCAATCACCACGGTTCGGCCAGTTACGTCAGCAACACTTCTTCGCAAGATATCGATTTCATTCAAGACAATTCCGACTACCAGTGGTTCATCGATTATGGGTAAGTCGAAATTCAAATTTTGTGCGTCCCACAAGGATCAATTATAGAGCCCCTTTTATTCGTAGCATGCATAAACGATTTTTCACGAGTAATATTCAGTCTCCTTGATTGAAATACATAATGAACGAATTGTAGGTACAGAGATGGCGGCACGAACAATCACACGAGCATCTTGTCGTTGCCTGAATCTTATGAAGCGGCGGATTTGAACTACTATGACGCATTTGCCAAAAACATTGACGCCAATTTGGCCGAGGCTGATATGGAAAGTTTCCGAACTGAAGATATACACGCTCTGTTGAGTAATCTACCGCCGATGTGTACCGATCATCTAAGTCAAGAGGTAAATAATAATAATTCAACTATACAGATTCAGTAATTGTAATTTAAAAAATAAATTACCCCACGTTGGGCGCCAATTTTTTTACATGTCGTCGCGTGAGAACCAGGTATTTCTATGTCCATTTTTCAAAATTTTACTGTAGATTATTTTTAAAATTCACCAGCTTCTATTGTGTACATCTTATTGATTTTGTTTTTTAGAACTGTAATTTAGTTTAGTTTAAGGGTTTATAAAAGAGAGAAACCCAAAAATATACTAAAAATTTTGACTGTCTAGGAAAAATTATCATAGAAAAAAAATCTGTTGCGGGCATATTGCTTTCTACAGAAAAATTTATTTATTTATTTATTTATCAACGGGCAATTGCCCAATTAAAATACAGTTCAATAAAAGGGAAAATTTAAAACCTAACCCACACTTAGAGAATGTTAAAACAAAGAAATACACATTAGCATAAAATTAACATAAACAAGAAAAAATTAAATATAAAAAAAAAAAACAAACAGGATAACAATTGTAAATAAGTTAAATTAAATTATCTAGACATCAAACTATCACATGCATGATTTAAGCTGGGATTTAAAGACTTTTTTTATTATCAAAGCAGTCCAATCTATCAGAATATTGATTAGCAAATCTACCCATCTTGATAGAAAAGAATTATGTCCATAGTTAGTCCGATGTTGTCTAATATTAAAGGGTTGAATAAGCCTTATTTGTCTCGAAGGAACATGAATATTAATTTTTCTCAATAACTCTGGACTAAATCTATGCGAGTGTAGTATATTGTAGAATGTGGTAAGATCCTTTTGCATGCGTCTGATCTGAAGAGTGGTAATATTAAGGGAACTCTCAATATTTGAGTAATTAATATTCTCGACTCCACGGTGGTCCTTAAATGAAATAAATTTTAAAAATGTATGCTGAACTCTTTCAATGGCTTGAATATGAACATTGTAGTGGGGGAACCAGACATGAACAGTAATCTAAATGGGGCCTCACAAGTGAACAAAACAATATTTTAATGGATGATACATCTAAAAAATCCTCAGCGCAACGTTTAATAAAGCCTAGCATTTGAAGTAATTTTGAGACTGCCATTGATATATGGGGTACATAAGATAAGTTGGAATCGAGGACTACACCCAAATCTTTAACTTGAGATACCGATTCCAAAGGGCAGCCATTAATATTGTAGATTATTTGTTCTGTGGGACTTCTGTTACGACTGAAGACCATTTGATGGCACTTTTTAACATTAAGTTCCATTCCATTGATTTCACTCCAGTTGCTGAGACGATCTAAATCAGCTTGCAGTTTTATGTAATCAGATTCGTTCTTTATTCTCATATATAATTTTAAATCATCTGCAAACATTAGGAATAGGGCAAAGACAGAACAGGATGTAAAATAAACAGACTGTCATTTACATACTTAGTAATTTGAAATAGGTACTTGAAAATTGTTTATAATGGATCTCCAAAACTGCAAGTCCGTTCTTTTTAACAACATCATTACCAGTCAAATTATAAACAGCGTACTTTTTTATAGTAAGATATTGAAACCTGTGTTTGTGGACATATTAGAACACTTTGTATATCAAAACATAGTGGAGCTGTAGACGGATCATTCTTACAGGCCTTTATGTCCTGGTTTTTTTCTTCACGAGCATTTAGCTTAGTTTTTATATGCTCATTGCATTTTTTATTTAAATCTTCGTTTAATGTTTGTTCATCTTTTTTGTATTATATTCTGTGCACACGTTGCATAAATCCTTTTTCGGAGCATGGAATCCCAGATTAAATTCAAAGTTAAAAATATGGTAGTATAGCCACTTCTTCTGTGGAGCTAATTTTTTTCTTCGCACCACTTTACATAAAGCTCATACATTTTTGACAAGGATAGTGTCCTTTCTAAGTATTCTTTGGAGTAGTTACTTCTACAGTAGTGTGAAGGTATATGAGGAAACATATTTAAGTGATCTCTAATTAATTGTCTATGCTCCTCACCAATTCTATTTTCTGCGCGGCATCCTCTTTGGTAGGTACTGACTGGGAGTACTTGTGATTCCCGTTCGCTTTTTGCTGTAAAAATAAGCAATTCTGATCTGACTTATATCTACGACTCCCAAGTAAAATTTCTTGACGCAAATTTTCTGTTTGTTCTTGATGAAAAAATACTTGTAGGAAAAACTCTTGGTTCTCTGTCTCACATTTCTGTTTCTCTGGCGTTCCACCCAGTATCTTTCTGTTGTTTTCTCGTAAAAATGTCCTTTCGCGTCATCAGTATTTGTCCACAATTCATTATGAATTAGCGCTGCTTCTTCACTGAAATTGTCCAGACATTTATAGCAACATTTTACGCAGTTTCTTCTGAAAGCCCTAGCCCTAACGGTCTGGTCTCGGCAACTTTGTATTATTTTTCACTTTGTCGTAACCTTATTCTTCCAATCTTTCTGGTTAGCTTTTCGTTTTCTAGTGGATTTTGATCTAAAAAATAAAAACGCAATCAAAATTAATTAATACATTAATTTAGGTAATAATAGTTTTAAAATCTTTGACATCATCGTCGTCTGGCATATCATCCTGACCATCTAATTCGACCGATGTACCGTCTGTTTTTCTTGGACTATCTAAATTCCTAGCACTTGATGTCCCAGGAATTTTTGTTGTGCCTCTTATCAAAGTGATATTTTTTGTGACCTGAACTTTTGCTACGTATTAACGTATCGGAATCACAAGAATTCTCATTGGTATCGACAATAGAACCTTCATTTGCATCGATACTCAAAAAATTATAAAAATTCATTCTATAATATTTTAGAAATTAATAACTTACATTTTTCGTTTATTATTCGTTGTAGCTTGTTCATACTCCGACCCTGAGTCCTGGTAAGGTTCCGGAAGGTATTTTTCCGAATCGCTCATTATTTTTAAATTATTTTCACGACTTAAACACTGTAAACGCGGACACCACACATGAACTTGGTTCAAAATGTTCTGACTAAAATATTTATGCAAAATTATTCCATGTCCTCACATGGTGCACATGGCTAAATCCTATTGGCTAGTAAGGACATAGACTAATATGGTTCGAAAATTAAAAACTTTGAATGGACATAGTATAAGTTAGGCTCTCTGTAAGTATTGAACCGATTGGAGCCGAGTAACATGGAATAGTTTGGTCGCTAGAGCTTCGTACATAGAATACTTTGATATTAAAATATCAATTAAAAAAAACTGGACCTAGAATAACCTAGTTCTCAGGCGACGATGTGTCAATTTTAGTTATAATTTTTAAAGTAATAAAGCTCTTGCGTTGATAAAAATAGTTGTTCTTCCAGAATAACAGACAAGGGGAAAATTATGCCAGCATAACCGGATCGTTGATGGCCAAATTCGACTTGGAAAGCTCTTTGAGTCCTCACAACAGTTCGCAAGGCGACGAATATTCGGCCAATTCGAATTCTATGTCGATATGCAAATCGGAATTGCTCTTCAGTCCAGTCAAAGAGACGTTGTTGCCTGTCAATTTCAGCGTCGATTCGTTGGATTCCGATTTCCACGATATGATGTTGACCTGTCAAGCTAATAAGGATAATTACACCATCGCGTTCGAGGGGTCTATTACAACGTATTCCGAGGATGACGATTGCCATGAGAAAGGTTTGTTTTCATAAGTATTAATGATTTGTTTATAAATTGATAGGTATCGAATTATATAGAAAAAAAAAAAAACATTTTTCCTTATTTTTATGAATGGAAATAATTTTACATATATATTTTCGGTTAATTAAATATGTAGGTTTGTAGGTCATTTTCATTTTATGAAATATATAGGTTTGTATATCAAAATATTAAATTAAAAAAAGTTAACCCAAAATGGTTTAAAAAAACGTTAAAAATGTTAGAAAATGGTAAAAGGTATCTTAAAAAAAGTATTTTTTTTTTTTAGGTTAAAAATAGTGAGTAAATGTTAAAAAACTTAAAAAAGCTAACAAAAACGGTAAAAAAGTAAGAAAGTTTGTAAAAAATATGTGATAATTGCCACATCATAAATTAAAATCCCAAGTAGCACATGACGGGTTTATAAAAGCTGTAAGAATATTCTTAAAGCAAATGTTTATAAGAGAATAAGATTTATAATATTACTTGTAGATATTCTTACAGGCTTTATACAACTCTTGTGAACCTAAATTGGGCACCAAATTATAAATCAAAAAACTTTTTTAGTTCCCTTATAAATGCTTTATTAATGTGCCGCAATAATAAATCTTATTTGTAGATACATACAAGAATTTAATAAAGCAATCTCAAATAGTATTTTAAAGACAAATTAATAGTTACTGTTTTTGCAACCAATTTGAAACCGTAAACACTTTGACGCTACATTTATAAGAAATCTTTATTGGTATGGCGTGAAACATGTTTTACAAAGAAAAAAAGTTTTATTTATATAAACATAAGGGATGTATCATCCCTAATAAAAATGTCTAAACTGCTTTTCAATGGTTTAATTCACGATCAAGTATTCTCAATTACAATGTTGCTGTGGTATTGCCACTGTCCATTCGCGTACTGCCCACTGCGCTGGTCTGCCTTCTCCCGCTCGTCCATCCTGACACGCATGAGTATGGACTTCAAGAATGTGTGGTGGGGAGAAAGACACACCGCTGCTAACATTTATGTATTCTCCAAAAACAAAATTATTGGGAACTCTTTAGATTACTGCAATGTCTAAATTTATAAAGGTTTCAGTTGATATGGCGTCTTGCAATTTACTTTAGTTATGAAACAACAAAAAGTAGGAAAATATATTACCTTATCGTTTAACAGAGATGCAAATTTTACAACGAGGTTCACTTTAATGTAAAAGCGATTTTTTCATGCCCCCACCCTAAACATTCAATTGAACTTTAAAAATAAAAATAAATTTTTATGTAAGAAAGTAAAAATGTATTAATAAAAGAAACATTAGATTAAATTATTCTTACTAATAAGTAATAATTTACTATCTGGTGTTTACAGACCATTATCACATTATTTCACCAAAAAATTTTCTTTTTAATTTTTAACCTTCATGTATTTTACATTTCAAATATGGCGAAGGTTTTAGTTACCCAAAAAGCATTTATAAAACATTTATGCTTTAAACTCAGCAACAACAAAGCAATTTGCCTAACTTTTCCATAATTTACAAGAATTTATTGCCAATACGAGGGTACTTTCAAATGTGGTATATACCTAATACTGTACTGTTTAACATAATTTAATATAATTACCAAACTTTAAAGAACTAATAGTTTCTATTACAGTCAAACTATTACTCTAGAGGAATAAACCACGACGAATCAAATACAAAATAACTTAGACGCATTTTGCGAAATTATAAAGTTGATAAAAATATAGTAAAAATCGTTTCAACTTTGAAATATTTTTAGGTGGGCTATCAAATTTTATTGGTTTCGTAGACACAACCAAAACTCTAACTAGCACAGAATAAAAAATACATTCTTATTTACAACCTTAATCAAGGCGCCGATTTTTAACTTTTTGGGTTCCCATCCTACTTTAAACTGAATATTGTATAGTTGGTAGAGCAAGTAAATAAAATGGAAATTCTTTCATGAATCCGTTTTTGGTTGTGAAGAAGTCGGTTCCACTTTGATTTAGATAAAAAATAAAATTTGCTGTTCGACAAAAATTATTTTGATATTATCTGTTAATAATTAATATTAATAACATTATTAAATTAATATAAATGAATACAAATTAATAATAATAGATATCTAAATATTTCACTTTGATTTTTTTATTTGTGAAACTTTTTTTTTATTTTACTGCACTACTATGTCTATCAACAGTATATGCCTTTTGTTCTCAGGCTTATTTTCTGTGAGCTCATTTCTAGTAAATTTTTTCATTTGCAATTATGGTACTTTCTACCAACACCTCGTATAAATGTTTAACTAGAGGATGCTGACATAATGAATTACCTACATAATAAAAATCTTATTACATGAGATGAGCAATTTTGTCTAATAGTCGTCAAAAATGGCAAAAGGACTTATAGTTGTCCGCATTAACATCACTATAAATCTATTTTGCTCTCTTGAAACTATTAGACAGCAGAAATTGCTCTAAACCAGTGCTAATAGTTCTTGTAAATGCCAAATTGTCTTATAATTGCTCATAATAACACAACAATAAAGTCATTTTGCTCTACTAGTGCTAATAGTTCTTGTAAATGCCAAATGGTTTTATAGTTGTTCGCAATAAGATCACAATAAAGTAAGTTTGCTCTCCCGAGAACTTTAATGTGTCGATTTACCATTATATTTAGTTTTACGAGCTTAAAGGTTAGATTTAATCCAGCATTTTTATTCTCGTTTTTATTTGTTGTGCGTTAAAATGTTTAAGATTCAGTTTCCAGCGTGAGATGTCCATTTTGTTAACTCGAACATCAACAACCCAATAACGTGTTGAAATAGAAATGATGAAATGTTTCAAATTGTCTCTATTAAACCAGTGGCAGGAATATCTTTGTGATCTTCGAGAGCATTTTACCTCATTGATGTTTTTTAAGTGTTACTAATGCAGCAGTAATAAAGACATTTAAAGGATACTTTGTAATTGCTATGTTTGCTCTCTTAAATATAGTTCTTTGTAGCTGCAATGAGAGTATTTTATATTTGTTGGAACAATTTTGTTTTATACATGTTGCACAAATTGCCTTAACAATAAAATGATGCTACTTCCCTTGTAAGTGTTGCGAATATATAACCGATGTATCTTATTGTTATATTAAACAGCATGCTTTATAAATTTGCACGTTTTTATATTTATAATTACTTTTAAAATGTTACTAAAGACAAATATAAAACCGTTATAAATCAAAAAGCCTTAAAAATGAAATTGGTGTTGAAATACTGAGTATCTCTTATAAGAGAAATTTATAACATACTAGCGGACCCGACAGACATTGTCCTGTCTTAACTATGAATATTGATTTCGAATTCGTATAATTAACTAACAAAATATTTCAGAAACAAAGTGTTTATTATTCTAATATTAGGCGTGATAGCTCTGAACTAACGGTGATGTGCACTAAGAAAATCAGTTAGAAATAAATTAATTATTTTATATGTATTTTATCAATATAGTAACTCCGATCGAAGCATTTGTTTTAAACGATATTCATCTTTGACGATATTTGCAGCATGTATACTGTCAATGTTATGTCAAACGCCATAAGGTTACATCAAAAAAGTTTGAATTGTAAAAGCGCTATGGTTACATTAGAAATAATTTAATACGGTGGTTAAGTATTCTTAAATTTTCTAATTTTCCGTGCAATTTTCTTATTTTTTTCTTTCATAAGAACCTTCTCCTGACAATAACAAACATAACAGAAAAAGAATTAGCGAAATCAGTCCAGCCGTTCACGCGTGATGCCGTGACCAAGGGAAATAGGGATTCATTTTTATATATATTCTTAAATTTTCTAATTTTCCGCACAATTTTCTTAATTTTTTCTTTCATAAGAACCTTCTCCTGACAATAACAAACACAACAAAAAAAGAATTAGCGAAATCGGTCCAGCCGTTCATGCGTGATGCCATGACCAAGGGAAATAGGGATTTATTTTTACATATATTCTTGAATTTTCTAATTTTCTGCGCAATTTTCTTAATGTTTTCTTTCTTAAGAACCTTCTCCTGGCAATAACAAACAAAACAAAAAAAAAATAGTGAAATCCGTCCAGCCGTTCACGCGTGATGCCGTGACCAAGGGAAATAGGCATTCTAAATTTTCTAATTTTCCGGGCAATTTTATTAATTTTTTTCTTTTATACGAACCTTCTCCTGACAATAACAAACATAACAAAAAAAGAATTAGCGAAATCGGTCCAGTCGTTCACGGGTGATGCCGTTACCAAAGGAAATAGGGATTCATTTTTATATATATAGAAGATATATGGGAAAAAGAAAAAGGCTGTTTTTATGGTTTTCCCGGCAATTATTCTAATTTTTCTCACCTTTTAAACCTTCCCTATACCTCCACGAACATTTCAAGACCAAGATAAGATAAATCCGTTCAGCCGTTCTCGAGTTTTAGCGAGACTAACGAACAGCAATTCATTTTTATATATAACACATATAATAAATATGCTGTAAGAATATTTATATAACAATATTATAGTGCTATTTTGTTTTCAACAGCTAAACTTCATCATTTGCTATATTTTTGAGTCAATATTGAATTTCTAAAACTACTATAAAACCTGTATAAGAATTAAATGTTCAATAATTCAAATGTTATAAGAGAAGTGTGCTGGTTGGGATCTAAATCAAATAATTTTTCAAAATGGTCCAAAAAATAAGAATATTGTGAAATTTATTAAAAAATGGGGCAAATTTTAGAAGAAAATGGAATATGATTTAAGGCGTATTTAAGAATAAAAAAAAATCGCAATTATTAAAAAAATTACAGATTAAAATATAAAATAAAATTTGATAAAAATACCATATAAAACGTTAAAAGATCGCTTAAAACGTTAAAAATGTTGAAAATGGTAAAAAATTTCTAAAAATATTAATATTAAAAAATGTAAATGTTAAAAAATATAATTTTTTTTTAAAAATGTTTAAAAAATGGTAAGTAAAGTTAACATAAAAAACGATAAAGATGTTAAAACCATCAAAACTCGTTAGAAAGTTTCTAAAAAAAATGTGATAATTATCACATACATATTACATTTAAATTAAAAACTAAATAAATTAATTTTCCAAAATAGTCCAAAAAATAAGAATATTGTGAAATTTATTTATAAAAATTAATAAAAAAATTTAAGGCGTAATCAAGAATAAAAATATTACATTTATTAAAAAATTACAGATAAAAAATGTACCAAAATCAAAAATTGATAAAAATTACATATTTTTCAAAAACGTTAAATAATTAGAAATTAAAAAAAAATTGATAATTTTCAGACAACATATTAAATTTAAATTAAAAACTAAATAAAATAATTTACTAAAAAATTGTGTAAAAAATGAATCAAAAATAATTTAAGGCGTTTTTAAGAATGCAAAAAATCGAAATTATTAAAGATTTACATATAAAACATCAAAACTTGATAAAAATTTCCATATTTTTGGCGAGTTTGATTCATTGGTTTGGAAGTAAAATTTTGCAAGGTTAAAACTCTTCAAATATTTACCAATTTTCATAATTTGAAATATTTGAAAATTTATAAAAAAATTCGTAGCATAAAGAAAAGTTTTGATTTTTACGAAATACTAAAAAGTTAATTTTTGCTCCACTTACCTCTTAGGCCTGCAAATATTTATCCCATTTACCTATTAAACATGCACATGTAAACATAATTTAGTTGGTCCTTTTACCCCTTACGCCCGCCAATGTAATAATATTTGGCCCATTTATATCTTACGCCTGTCCATGTAAAAATATTTTAACCTTTTATTAATTGTAATTAGGTTTGCTTCTTTTACCCCTTAGGCCTGCCCCTTTGCCTCTTAATCATGCACATGTCGACATATTTGTGCTCTTTATCTTTTATCCCTTGCAGTAATATTTAACCCTTTTATACCTTAAGTCTATTCGTTTAAAAATATTTGGACCTTTCAATCCTTAAGCCTGTCCATATCAAAATATTTGGACCCTTTACCCCTTAAATCTGCCGAAGTAAAAATACACGAAATTTTCAATTTACAAATTAATACAACGTTTGAAAGTTGAAATTCTCTAAAAAAATATAAAAGAAAACAAAGTTGAAAAAATTAAGAAATTTTTTTCTGTAAAGAATTGTCTAAAAACACTAAACTCTTGATTAAATTTGAATTTTTATTTTAATTATCTATTACGTGACTTAATCTGATCCTGTAGTTTGTTAAAATATTCTTTAATATTTTATCCTTTTGAAAACACTATCACAAGTTTTATAGTTCTGTCGTAAACAATATTTGTCATCATCCGACCTTATTATCTAACGTAAATAATGGTTGAGTCATTAACCGCATTCCATTATAAAAATTTCGTTTCATTCAAATCGAAATCCCCAAAGATAACGTTAGTAATTACTTGTACAGATAAGAACACACAAAGCCACAATACCGACAACACTCGCTGGCCTTCCGACAACGCCAACAATCCGAAATCCAACGCCTTGGACAATTCTATGACACGATCGGATTCGAGCAGCTTCACCACTTGGAGCAAACTGAAGAAATGCGGCGGCAATAGTTTGAGACGACATCCTTCCGGTAATAATAACAATTCCGAAAACGATGCTAGTCATTTGGGGCTCACCGAAAACACGAATAAGAGCCAAAGCATGCCGAATTTGTGCAAACGGAGAGAGAAGTTGAGGAGTCTGACCACCAGCGTGGTACAGAGGAATCCAAGCAATAGTTCGGTAAGTACTATTTTGAACTATTTTTTCGGCTCTACAGTTTATTCTTCGGCTCTACAGTTTATTCATTGAAAAGCAAAATTATCGAAAGTATCATTAGATTGTGCGGGAGTACCTCAAGAAACTGAATTAGGCCTTGTGCTGCTTAAATATTGTTAAATTTAGCGCAATCGAGTATTTATTGTATTGCCAGCGTTCTGCAATTGTTATATGCGTAAAGTTTGACATTTTTAACCTATAATTCAATAACCGTTCGAATTTAAAGTTTCTTTGCAATGAATGATTATTTATTTATGATTTTCGATACGCTTTAACACTGCAGCAATATGTTGTTTTTTATTTTAGAGTGAAAACGTTACCGTGAAAAGACGACCAGTCAAAGTGTTCGATATTCAGAATCACGCGAACAGTAGCGATAGTGGAAGCGTATCCGAAATGGCTACTTCGATAGATTTGAGTTTCAGCGACAACGCCAACAACAAACAACAACCTAATTTTAGTCTCGTCAAACTGTTCATGAAACAGAAGAGCATGAGCGTCGAAGGTAAATATAACGAACCATAATGACGACTGACAGATAAATAACGACCGACAATCGCCTGACAAGTGACAAATGAATGAATTGTTGGACTGTACTTTCTGTTCTGGTCTATTTGCTTCCATCTTGGTCCAGCTTTTCTTCTTGGATTGTTTGTGGATTCCACCCTTTTCTCTTGTATTCTTATGGCAGCTGTCAGATAAATAACAAACGACAATCGCATGACAAGTGACAAATGAATGAAAATTGACCATTGACATCCTTTATTAAACACTACTTTCTGTCCTGGATTATTTGCATCCATCTTGATCCAGCTTTTCTTATTGGATCATTTGGATCGCTTCAGTTCTGGCTTCTTTCTTTTTTTTGATGACAGCTAACAGATAACAATTGACACGTGACAAAAACTAATCACTGACATATATTATTGAATTCTTAGTTCTGTCTTGAGCTATTTGTATCCATCTTAGTCTACCTTTTCTTCTTTAATCATTTAAATCGCTTTAATTGTGGCTTCTATATTTTTCTCTTGTATTCCCATGATAGCTGACAGATAAATTACAAATGACAATCGTCTGACAAGTGACAAATAAACGAAAACTAACCATTGACATCCATTGTTGGATTTTATTTCTGTCCTGGGCTATTTACATTCATTTTGGTCCTAGTATTCTTGGATAATTTTTTTGCTTCAATAGTGAATTTTATTTTTTCTCTTTTGTCCCTATAGTCTCCAGTGTTGCATTATTTTATTTAATTTACCATATTTATGTTTTCTTTAGAAGTTCAACCCTCACAAATATTCGCCAACATAATTCTGCTTCTCATGTACTCTCATTGTTTAACTGGATTTAAGCATACTTTTTTAACAAATAGGCTTCTTTATATATCATTTGTTATTATTAAATAGGAATGTCGACAACCATGGACCAGCTATCGTCATCGGAAAACTGGCCGGCAAGTCAATCGGAAGAAAGCACCACCTCATCCAAAGAAAGTATCAATAATACGAAAACCTGTTTCGATTCTAAAACCAACGATTTCATAGCAAAAACGTGCGATTCCATATCGGAAGAACCCGAAGACGAATCGCCCAGACACGCACAGAAACTTTCTCCAGTAACGAACTCTCGTTCTTGTCCAGGAGAAAATTCCAAACAGAAGTGTTTCAATAATAACGACAGTTTTAACGGCGAAAAAGAAAAGTGCGCCAGTAAAATGAATTTGACGAATATCCTGATGAACAGAAGCATACAGACGTCGCAGTTTTCCGAAATTACCAATCTGAAAAACGCCAACAAGATAAATTCTGAAGCATCTTCGAAGAAATCTGTAAAGATTTTGGAACCGTCGTTTCTGAACAAACTAAAACTGGAAGGCGAAGGGAAGAAACCAGTTTACGTGTTGTATCCCAATTACGTTTTACCTAATTTGGATTTCATCAGCGATCAAAATATCGCTTCTGAACTGTTACTGCTACCCCAAAAACCGCCAAGAGTCAGTTTCAGCAAGCGCAGACCGTTCAGCTGCAACGATATCGAAAGTTTGAAGAAAAAAGGATTCGGGCACGTACAGGATTGGGATTCGTTGAATTTCCTTTTACCGCAGGAGTACCGCGTTATTCTATCAGAAGTACCGGAGATATCCGAGCACATCAAACCGCCTTCGAGAGAAAAACCATCTTTTCTGCAAAACAAATTCGCTAACGCTATTAAAAAGCGTCCTTTGAGTTGCGAGATCAATCAGTCTTCCAGTTCGAGTACAGCAACGCAACCGAGTTCCGGTTACCGAGGGTCTTCAAGTCTTTTGACGGATTCTCAAAACAGTCCTGTTCCCGTTAACGCTAATTTAAATCCGTTGTTCGTCTATAGATACGATAGCGTTACCAGTTCCGATGCTAGCTTGCTGAACAGCGAGAAATACAGGAGTAGAACCAAATATATACATCAGGATGAGGATAGTCAGTTGCCAAAAGGGATATTGAGGAAAGGATCAGAGAAAGACAGTTGCAAACGTTGCAGCATGTATGAAACCAGCGAAGAAGAAACCACTGATGATCCGAAATATAAAAGAAAATCCTTACACGATCCTTACTATATACATCAGCGATTCAAACGCTTTTCCGAAACTGAAGACGAAGGAGTCGATGCAGGCACTTCTAGTAGCAGTTTGGATGAAAATCCTGATTGCCCACCAAATATAACTGCCAGCGAATTGGCGCAACTAGAAGAATTCCTGAAGCTTAGCGGCATTTCCGTTTCCGATAACGAAGAGAATTTGGGACAATTGAAGTCTTACGTCAGCAAGTTCTTGGCGTTGAAGTTGAATCAGGAAGGTAGAAAATGCGTCAGTTTTGCCGGTTTGCCGAAGCAGTTCGAGCAGAAACAATTCGTACCGCCGAATAATTCGCCGAACATTTCGGCGTTTGTCCAGCAGAAAAAGAAACTAACTGACATGCCAATTACCGAGGAATCCGAAAATTACAGCCGGCAAACGACGCCGGTGCATTTAACCAAAAACGACAATCTGATCCAAAAGCGGTCCCTAATAGTCGCTATAACCGATTCCGTTGAACAAATCATGCACCATTTCTCCTTAGCATCCAATCAAAGCGAACTCAACACTCTAGGTGACTCTGCTTTGAATCCAGCTTGCGCTAAGTTGCTTTTATCGACTTTATGTCCCGCTCTGTATGCTGTATTAAGCGACGGATTGAAGCCTAGCATCGAAACCAATTTCGGTGCTATCCATAATTCCGTATGGCAAGTGGTTGAAGCATCGGCGCAACAAGGACCTTTAACGAACGCTTTAAACGAACTGGTGATGAGGATCAACAGTGAAGATGCCGTTACAGAGGGTTTAGTGAAATTCAACGCTTTCGTCTTCGGATTGCTAAACGTGAGATCTTTAGACGCGTGGACCAGTTACTTGAGAACCAGGGAAAGCATACTGAAGAAGCATTATACTGGGGATTCTTTATTAGTTTTGTCACATACCGGTGGAGTCGGTGTCAGATCGTTGTTAGATGCGATGGTGTCAGCGTTGAGGCCGTTAGCGTTTTTACCGTTCCAGTTGGATTTGTTGTTCGAAATCAAAGAGTTGCATCTGAGTTTCAAGAGGATGGATTCTTATCATCAGCCTTTCAGTCCAACGCATAAACGTACACCGTCGCCCAACTTCAAACAATTCCATCGCTCCAATTCGGAATCAGAAGATATATCGTCGGTAAATACTGTGCGACAATATCCGGTGATAGAAGAAACGACTTTACCCGATTTGCTGCACTCTTCCACGTTCAAGTCGCACATAAAAGCCCATAAAGAACGACCGAGATCCTGCATAGAGACGAACTCGTACAATCTCAATTTCAAGGTGGGCGATGATGTTAACGATGTAACCAGAAAACGGTGGTCGGGCATTGCGATGAGTTCGAAGCTGTATCAGGCTTATCATAGACTGACCAAAGACGATGAAGAGTACGCGGATAGCTTGGAGAATCAGGAAAAGAGCGATGATTCTAATACTGCGGAGAATGTGCCTTCGTTGTTGGACGATCGTGAGCCAGAGTCGCTGGATTCCAATTTTTCCGATAACAAACCGATCAACGCCAAAAGGTACGATTTTATTTTTATTTTAAATTGCTAATAATGTATTTTCCATTAACAACGTAATTTTTTATTGGGTAATAAAACACATAATATTACGGAAGCGCAGGAAGGCCACAAACTATATTTTTATTTTTTTGACTAAGTACTCTGAAAAATTCATTATTCCGACTTAGAACTCGGAAAATTGGATTATTCCGACTTAAAAATTCGGAAAAATAGTTTTTTTTCTACGAAATCCCACCGCAAAGTTTACGTGTTCCGCGTACTGAAATTAAGTGACAGCTTTGTTGCTCGCTTAATTTAAATTTGCTATAATACAATAATATTTCTTTTTAATTAATGATTTTCAAGTTATTTGTACGTAGTTACATGTTGTTTTGTTATATTATCCAAGTTAACATTGACTTTGAATATCAACAGCTTTTTTCATCATTAACGTAGGTATAGGCAACACATTATACACTACTTAGGATACATTTTTAGTTTTTATATCTATTTCTTAAAAAAGTTTGATCGTAGGACAAAGTCTTGTGTGCATTTTGAGCAAAAAGTTCGTTGCCGCTTTCGACAGGCCGAGATCCGCTACGCGTCGCGCTCTTAATACACAAATAACTATTTTCTGACTTAGAACTCGGAAAAACAGATTATTTCGACTTAGAACTCGGAAAAATAGGTTTTTCCGATTTAGAACTTGAAAAATAGATTATTATGACATAGAACTAGGAAAAATAGATTATTTCCACGTAGAACTCCGAAAAATAGATTATTCCGACATAGAACTGGAAAAAAAATATTTTTTTGATTCAAAACTCTAAAAAATAAATTATTACTGCTTAAAACTCGGAAAAACTAATTTTCCTGACTTAGAACTCGGAAAGTATATTGTGACGATTACGATTTAAAACTCGAAAAAATGATTATTATGAATTAGAATTTGGAAAAATAAATTATTTCCTCTTAGAACTCCAAACAAATAGATATTTCCGACTTAGAACTGCGAAAAAATGATTATTATGAATTAGAATTTGGAAAAATAAATTATTTCCTCTTAGAACTCCAAACAAATAGATATTTCCGACTTAGAACTGTGAAAATTATATTTTTCTGATTCAAAACCCGAAAAAATAAATTATTACGACTTAAAAGTCGACGAAATAGATCATTGCGATTGCGATTTAAAACTCGGAAAAATTATTATTATGACTTAGAACTCTGAAAAAAAGGATTTTCTGATTCAGAACTCGAAAAAAAACATAGATTAATATGACTTAGAACTCGGAAAAACCAATTTTTCTGACTTAGAACTCGGTGTAATAGATCATTACGACTTACAACTCAGAAAAAATTGATTTTTATGACTTAAAACTCGAAAATATAGATTAATACGACTAAAAACTAGGAAAAATAGATTATTATGACTTAGAACTCGGAAAAATAGATTATTACCACTTAGAACCCAAAAAATAGATTATTACGACTTAGAACTTGAAAAAATAGATTATTACCACTTAGAACCCAAAAAATAGATTATTACGACTTAGAACTTGAAAAATAGATTATTACCACTTAGAACCCAAAAAATAGATTATTTCGATTTAGAACTCGGAACAAATCGATTTTTTTGACTTAGAACTTTGGAAAATAGATTATTATGACTTAGAACTCGGAAAAAATTGATTATTTCCTCTTAGAATTCCAAAAAAGAGATTATTATGACTTAGACTCGGAAAAAATAGATTATTTCCTCTTAGAACTCCGAAAAATATTTTATTACAATTTATAACTTGGAAAAATAGATTATTATGACTTAGAACTCGGAAAAAATAGATTATTTCCTCTTAGAACTCCGAAAAATAGATATACTATTACGATTTATAATTCAGAAAAATAGATTATTACGACTTAGAACTTGGAAACACAGATTATTACCATTTAGAATCCAAAAAATAGATTATTCTGATTTAGAACTCGAAAAAAATCGATTTTTTTTACTTAGAACTCGAAAACTTTGATTAAAAGTCTAATAGTTGTTTCCTTACATTACAGAACTTATCCATAGTAATGGCGTATGTTTATGCATAATCTGCTTGACAATTTGACCGCAGTTGTATGAAAAAGCTGAAAACATTTTTTGAAATTTTTGATTTTTTTTTATTCTGAGAGAAATGTTTTATCGTCGATCGAAACTTTTTTTTGTTTTAATGATACACATTATACAATCGATGTATTTTTTGTTTAGATTCAAGAAATTACAAAAGAAATGGGAAATGTTAAGCGGGCAAAATTCGACCGAATCTCCTCCTCAATCACCTACTCATACACCGAAATCGAGAATACCTAGACCTATCACTTCGCCCATTAAACCATCAGGCATCCCTGTACCTGTAGTCAGTAACAAAACTGTAAAGAAAATTACTAGTCCGACGGTTGCTGTTAAAACAAGCACTCCAGTCAAGAGTTTGAACACTGTAAAAAGTTCACCAGTCAGAAGACCCGTCCCCACTACAAGGTGAGTTGGTTCATTTCTGTTTTATGGATCTAATCAAATTTAGTATTAATTTTATTAAAATTCAACATTTGGTGCATTTGAAGTACTTACTTTCGTTAAAAGTTCGGTAAATATTAAGTATGGTACATATGGCCTACTTGTACAAACTTTTTTAAGTTTTTAATAATTTATATTTAATATTCTTATATATTGTAATGAAATGCAACTTCTGGTGCATTTGAACTACAGGCTTGCTTAGGTAATATAAAACATCTACATTAAAAAATACGTGTTTGTACTTAATTCCGATTTTTTTTTAAACGATACAATTGAACTACTGTCTTTCATTAATATATCTAAAAATATTTGTTTCTTACTCTTTATTTTGTTTTATTTATTTTTCCTTATTGTGGTATTTACTATGTTTATTATTGTATGTTTTTCTTCTATAATTTTAAAGTTATGGTTGGTTTACTAGGACGAGCAGGATGGATCAGGTGACCCATCCAACTGACGTTCCTCGGCATCCTCAGAGGCCGAGCAGTCTGCCGTATAGACCTCCGCAAAACGGAAAACCTTCCAAAATTACGCCACCAAGGCGAGCGGTGTCGAGTTCTTTGAACAGAAAGCCTCTAAGTGATAGTAAAATACCCAAGTGAGTAATTTTTTTGTCCTATCAATTTTCTTTACGAAATTTAGAATTTCAAGAATGGTACATTTGAACTAATTCTATCGATGGCTTCAAAATTACTAATTTTGTTTTATTAAAGATTTTTATTTAATTTCAACAACGAATACATTTGGAATACTGACTTTGTTAACAGTCCGATCAGTATCTTATATCGATAAATTTAAACTACTGACGTTAAAGATCTAAAATATTAATTTCCTTTACATTTTTAACCATTTTTTAATAGTTTGGGATGAATTTAATCAAATGTAATGTCACTAGGGGGAAAGTTACATTTTTATGCTGTGAAAACAAATTTAGTTTTAAATTCTGTGTAAAATTATCACTATCTATATTAAAATGAAAAGTAATTATTTGGGATTTTTTAAAGTATAGCACGTTTGAACTACTTGTACTAAAAACAAATATGGTACTTTTGAACTACCTTTTCCTATAGCTTCAAAATTATTTTCTAGTTCTAAGGATTTATATTTAATGAAATTCAACCCCTGGTACATTTGAACTACTGACCTAATTAGCAATCTGATCAATTTTGAACGTCTAGATTAAAAAATACGTATTTATACCTAAAACCGATTATGTTTATCAGTTCATTTCAACTACTAATGTTCGTGAAAAAAAAAATCTAAAATAATAATACTTGTTTTCAAAAGCTTTAAATTCACTGATTTTCTAGTTCTAAGTATTTATAGTTAATTTGATCTATATTTAATTAAATTCAACCTTTGGTACATTTGAACTACCAACTTAATTAGCAATCTTACCAATTTTGAACGTCTAGATGAAAAAACTACGTATTTGTACCTAATACAGATTTTATTTGAGCGGTATATTTGAACTACTGACGTTCGTTAAAATAGTAAAAATATTAAGAATGGTACATTTGATGTACTTTTGCCAAAATCTTCAAAATTATTTTCTAGTCTTAAGGGTTTATATTTTATTTCATTAAATGAAATTCGACCTCTGGTATATTTGAAATGTTGATTTGATTAGCAATCTGACTTTCTTTAAAAGATCTGAAAATATTAAGTAAGGAACATTTGATCTACATGTGCCAAAAACTTCAAAATTACTTATTTTGTGGTTTTAAGGATTTAATATAATTTTATTTTAATGAAATTCAGCCTTTGGTACATTTTACGTATCTATTTGATTAGCAATCTAATCATCTAGATTTATATATTAGTCCTACTTTTTATCTTATCTTTTAGATATTTTATATTTAATTTCTTATTAATTTTAATGAAATTCAACCTCTGGTACACTTGAACTACTGACTTTTAGCAATCTGATCAATCCAAAACATCTTGATTTTAAAAAATACGGAGCGATACATTTGAACTTTTAACTTTCATTAAAAGATCTAAAAAAAATTATTTGCATTTTTATCAATTTTTCTATTCTGACCCAAATTTATACAAATTTAACATACAGTACATTGAACTACTGACTTGATTAGCAATCTGATCAATCTAGAACATTTCGATTTAAAAGATATTTGAACTTTATGCGGATTTAATGTGATTGATACACTCGTTAAAAATCTAAAAATAATTTAATTTGTATTTTTATCAATTTTTATATTTAAATAATACTTTTGTTATAGATTTATGTGTGGTTCATTTGAACTACCATACTTAAAAGTTGTAAAATGACGTTAATATCCAAATTAACAATACTTCACCTTGATTTTCCTAAACAAAAAATATAAATAATCTGTCACTAATATGTCAAAATAATTATCCTTGTATTTATTGGCGTTTTTTCTCTCTTATACAGGGTTGTGAGAACCATAGGCAGGCGATTGCCGTCTGAAAGCGGCCATCTTGCTTACAACGACGGTGAGAAACTTCGCGTCGTCTTGGAGGTAGACGAAAAATGGCTGTTGTGCTGCCGCGGCACCCAAAAGGGTCTGGTACCCAAATCGTCCGTCATAGCGGACGCCGGACGATTCTGACTGTAAATATTTTTTTTAGTTAGTTTTTAAGCAAAAAAATATCGCTTGAGTTGTAAATTTTTATACAGACTGCACCCTTAGAATTAACTCAAATTAAATTAATTTAAATAATAATGATAAAATAGTAACTCGATATATTTAGGGGATAGTTAAGTTTCTGTAAAATGTTTTTCAGACTTGAAAGTTTTTTTTTAAACCTATAAATGTTATTTCATACTAGTTTGCTTATTTTCTAATTTATATTCACTAATTTATCTTCTGAATCATTTTTCTTAATTTTCGATAACGATGGGATCTGCATTATCGACCATACGATTTGCGGCTTACTTCACTCTGCGAGTCTAGCCTGGTTTCGAACTCCTCTTGCAGTGAAATTAATGATTGATTAAATTTTCTCGAATATTTTGACACTTTTACATTGTATAACTTTTTATTTTTGTTTTTCTCTATGCGAAAAATGTCTGAATTTAGAAATGAGCAAACTAGCGTTGTCGTCGATGAATTTTCCCGAATACGCCATTGATTAAATTATCGATAATTTGATTGTATTTACTCTTGAGTATTATTTTCGATACTGACAATTTTATGAGATTGTTATTAGATAAATTTCGGTTTTTATTATTTTAATTCCTTAAATATTAAAGATGGTGCTTGAGATCCATTTTTTCTGTTTTTCTCTTTTTCTCTTGTGTATTGTGTAGAGAAACTTTTTACAAACATGCATATAATTTGAAATTGGATGTAAATGAAAAAAAAAAGGAAGATCTATTAAAGATTTTCTATTTTTTTTTCTTTCAATTTTTGAAATTGAAATTTTTTTCTCTAATTGATTTATTTTAATTAAAAAAAAAAGAAGATTGAAAGAGATGGAACCGGACAAAAGTTTTAGTTCTTTTTTAATTATCGAAATTTTTTGCATTTTTTTTTTATTTATTAGATACTCTTTATAAAATATCGAAACTATACAAATCGCTATATAAAAATTTACCACTACTGAAATAATTTAATATGTATTTTTGTTGCTTTAATACGTTTGGGGTGTCAATGTAAAGAAGATAATTTAAAATATGTTTGGAAATCCACTTTAGGTTTGAATGAAAATCGACTTCAATAAAATTACGTTTATACCGATCTTCATTTGTTCTCAGAGATTTACCTCGGACCAAAATGTTTCCTTGTCCTGTCATTATTCTTTTTTTTTTCCTTTTTTGATCCAACCTTTGGTTCCATCTGTTATTAAGTAGATAAAAATTAAATATCTAGACCTCTACATGTATTTCATCTTCTATCTCAATCTTCCGTTTTATTTGTCTTGTTTCATTTTTGGTATTGTCATATTTATCTCTGTTGATACACTATAAAAAATATTTTCGTACTCAAAGACAGCGGCATCGCTTTCAAATTGAACAGCGATCAGGATGGCTAACTTCACTCCGGTCCAGAAGAATGGGATCTGTATTACCGGCCGTATGATTTGCGGCTTCTAGCCAGAATGGTATTCATGGTATACATCCGTTGTGGTTTCAATATAATTTAAGATAATCAATATATTTTTGGATATCCACTTTAGGTTTGAAAGAAAATCGATTTCAATAAATTTACGTCCACAAGGATCGTCCTTTTTTTCCTCAGAGATTTCCCTCAGCCCAAAATTATCTTAACTAAACTTTTCCCTCGTTCTTTCATTATTTTGCTTCTTTATTCCTTTTTTATCCAACCTTAGATTCCTAGGTTTATTTTTGGACTTTCAATTAGATGAAACTTTATTTTCAAAAAAGATCACGAAACTCCTAATAATGTTCTTTGATCTCAATCTAATTTTGTAAGTCCTGGATTCGCATTGTTTCATTTTTTTTTTTTTCGTTATTGTTATATTTATCTCTGTTGATAAAATATAAAACATTTTGGTATTCGAAGACACCACCTAGCGGCATCGTTTTGAACTTGAACAGCGTTGAGCGTGACCGACTTCACGCCGGTTGATAATTATGAGATCTTTATTACTGACCGTATGATTTGCGGCCAATAGTGCCAATCTAGCGAGCTTTTAAACCAGAATGGTATTCATTACATCCCTTCCCTTGACCAAATCTTTCATCCAAGAAACTTTTGTTGCACTATTTCTGAGTTTTGTTTATTATATACATTGTAGGTTTTTACTGCTTGTGGGAATGTTGAATCGTCTTCATCTTTGCTTTGGGATTCCTTGTGCTATCTCATATTCTGACTTTCTGTCAATATAGAGGTATTGCAACCACTCCCACACCTACTAACAATTTAATATCCATTTCATAAACATTAACCGTGTAACATGTCTGATCCTTTACTAATATATGAATAACGTTCCTAATGCTTATACTTCAGGCAATATTTGTTTGATGGTTCTTCCTTTCTAATTGAAACAATTAAAACAAATTAGTAGAAACTAGGTTTGAAATTTTCTCCATAAATTGGTTGTCTTTTGTCATGTCTGTTAACTTCTTGTCTCTTATGGATTTCTAACCATGCTATTTCTATAATTTCTTTGCGGTGGGTTCCCTTGTGGTGATCTACATTCTGTTCTGTCTCAGAAGCTTTCAAAACAATTTTTTTTATTGATTTATAGTAATTTTACTGAAGAATATATTCAAACCATAACGTGGACGAAAGCACTTTTGTTGGGTTTTCAAATTAGTTGATGAATTAATTAATGCACCATGAGCTTGCTGCGTGAATCCAGTATTTACACCAAATACTTGAAGATTCAACCCTATGCTCACGTTTTTAAGTTTGTGGATGTATTAGGGACGTTTATTGTTTAAAATAGGTCTTTAATTTAATACAAACGACACCCCAGATTGTTATTGAAGCGATCTCTTCCATTTTCTCTATTTTGGTGCTCAATGTAAATGTCAAATAGCTTAGAAACCGTGAGAATTTCTTTAACGAGATTAACGCTGTTAATACTATTAATATTATTATGTATTGTGATAGCAATATTACCAGAATTGTGAAAATATTTTTGCTTGTCAACTCTCTTCAGTTTTTTTTTCTCGATTGAGCAAAAATCGTTACCATGTACCAATAGATAATAAAACATTTAATGTAATAAGTAAGTAAAAATTTGTACATTAGCAAATATTTGTGCAGGTGGCCTTCTAATTGTAAATTACAAATAGTAGCACATTTTTAATCTCACATTAATTTTGAAATTCTATTCTAAACAGATTAATTTGAGCCAATCAAAACTTAAAAGGTCCAAAATACGTTATAAATATTCTGCAAACACTCTGTTGGGTAGTATAGTTCGAAATAAAATTATTGTCTACAAGCGCCGCAAAAAATCGTTTAAAGTTGACCGCAAATAAAATTATAATTTCAGGACGCAAATAAAATTATTTCCATTAAAATAGAAAACGGTGTGGTTGCAAATAATAATTTGGAATAAACGCGTTCCGTAACAAATTTTGAAGACGAGTCGCAAAAAAACGATTTTTTTAAATTTGCCTCCAAAAAAATTTAGGCTTCACATTAAAATGTAAGGGTTGCAAACAAAAAATATTTTAATTTACATACAAATGTAATACATTAAACCAAAAACCCTATAAAAAAGGCTTATAATAAAAAATTTTGGCCGTAAATAAACATGCAATGCCGCAACTTTTAGGACGCAAATTATTTATAATAGCGTCAGGGTTTTAAATGATTGATGAAATCTGAATTCTAAGTGAAATTCTAGTCTAAATATTTAAGTCTGTTTGGTGGGTCGCAAATAAAATAGTATTATTTATGACAAAGTAAGCAGCAAATAAAATTATAAATGTAGGATGCAAATAAAGTTTAATTTCATTAAAATCGTGTGCAAATTTAGGAAACGGTGGCGTTGCGAATATTTTGAAATAAACGCGTTCACGATAAATTTGCAATATCAAATGTAAAAAATATACAAACTGAAAACTTGATAAAAATATCCTTGAATGAAACTTGTAATCCTTAAATGCCGAAAATTCTAGGATGCAAATTATTTCTAAAGGCATCTAAATTATATTAACGATAAAATAAATTAGGTTGTAACTATAAATTAAAAGCTGCAAATTCCAGGACGCAAATTATATTTAAAACCGTTTGTATATTAAATTATCAATGAAACATAGTGTTACCCCGCACCCTGCAGTTAGCCTTCAGCTGTTATAGGAAACGTAGGAATACAAAAAGAAGTACAAGAAGATACAATAGTCCAGAAATGTCATTCCTCGTCAAGAAAAATCTGGACAGGTCGTGAAGGATGATCTTTTAAATTCTCTTGTTGTTGATCTAAATTAGTTTTAAAATTCTCTAAAGTAGTTTTTAAGTTTTCTTGCTGCTGCTCTTGTGCTAGGAGATCTACTCGACTGTTCAGCTGACCTACCTCTTGCCTGAAGTTTTCTTGAATTTTTACTAAGCCATTTATAATCTCCACCTTCGCTTTTCTATGCCTTTCCTCCTTCTCTTCTCGCCTTTCCCTCTTCTCTTCTTCCTTCCTACGCCTTTCCTTTTCCTCCCCTTCTTCCTTCCTACGCCTTTCCTTTTCCTCCCCTAATCCTTCCTACGCCTTTCCTTTTCCTCCTGTGCTTCCTTCCTACGCCTTTCTTTTTCCTCTTCTTCCCCCTATGCCTTTCATTTTCCTCTTCTTCCCCCTATGCCTTTCATTTTCCTCTTCTTCCCCCTATGCCTTTTATTTTCCTCTTTTCGCCTGCCTACAAGTGAAATTCTAGTTTAAAACTAAGCCTGCTGATGGGTCGTAAATAAAATTTTGTTTCATTAATGTCGCATGTAAAATTAGGAAACGGTTGGGTTGCGAATAATACTTTAGAATAAACGCGCACCACACTAAAATTTAAAGATGATTTTATGCCAAATGTAAAAAATTTAAAAACTAAAAACCTGCCTACAATTAAAATTTTAATCAGCAAATAATTCAGTGCCACAAATTATTTTTAAAGGCATCTGTAAATTATATTAAAGATCAATCCTGACTTCCAAGTGAAATTCTAGTCTAAATATTTGAGTGAGTCGTCGATAAAATGATGTTTTTTATGACTTTTTGGACCTTTTTTGTACTGGCTACCTCAGAAATGCGATTTCTGTTAAAAATTATGTTGAATATTTTTGTTATAGCCCAAAAATACGCGCTTTTATGAATGCTTTTATCTCTAAAAAGATATATTTTTTGTGATAAAAATCACTTTTTATTTTATAGCACTATTATAAATACAGTGTGTTGTGATAATTAACCTGCTGTAATATTTTACCATTTTATGTGGCATATATTGTTTCCAATATTAGATATATATTTTATTTTAAACATCCATTAATACGTAAAGCTATTCATTAAAAGAACATGATCAATTGCAATTTCGTAGTTTTACACATTCGCCATTATTCTGATCCCACGTCACCAAAATTTGTATCGTGATCCAGGAATTTGCAATTCTAATCAAAAATAATCGTATATAGGTGTAAATGTATCAAACAAATATCACAGATGTAGAATATCAATTCTAATTCTAGTATTAAATAAACCTGCGTGCGCCTATGTCATTTTGAAGCTTTAGTAATTTTGGAGTATAAGTGACGTGATTTGTATGTGTGCCTGCCTGATAATAAATCTGATATATATTGGTATTTTTTTATGGAATATTGATTATTATATATGTAAAGGTCGTCTGTCAAAATCTAGACTCACTCCCCTTCCTCAGTCATTTAAATTCTTTTGTATCTCTTTTCAGTTTTATATTATGTCTCTCTGACTGTGACAACAATTTAATTCTCATGAAATTGTAGACTTTTCTACTCAATCAATTTTGGACGACCTTTTTATTAAGTATTAATTTTGACGGATTTCATTGACGGTTTAGCAGAAATTATTTTGCCAGTGAGAATTGACGTTAACTGTCTTTCGCCCTATAACTGAGTGTTGTGTTAACCTTCCCCCAAACTTATATGACTACATTTATTTGTATATATTGGTTATATATTTAATAATGATGTATATATGTACTTCTTACCAAAGTTCGATTGATTGATATTTAAGTGTATGAAACCAATTTATATTTCATTTTGTATTCATCGTTTCATCGCCTGATATTAGTGCCATACGTATAATTTACTGACCATTTTACGTTTTGTTCGTGCCGTTTTAGCAAATAATGTAAAAATTACCTTATAAATATAATAACTATTAATTATTATTTTCGTTGTTTCATTTCCTTATTCCTCTAGTATACCTAATCTACACCACAAAAAAGGTAAGTCGATTGATTATTTTATATTTCAAGGATAAATTGCAATATTACAGAGGCCCTTCCTATGGGGCCTCAGTATTGCATTCGAACAGACGAAAAAATTTTCTTACTCCCATTTTTTAAAACTTTTTTCATGTTTCCGATCATTCTGAGTACGAAAATTAAAAAAAAAAATTTGTCTGTGTGTATGTATGCCGGCACGATAACTCTAGAACGAAAGTTCTGATTAACTTGCGATTTTGATTTTCTTGAATAATTACTTCTAACTTAGAACCCTATTGATTTTCAGAATTTTCGGTTCATCGTAACTACTTTAATATCAATTTTCTTAAAACCCGCCTATGCATTTCTTGTGACAATTTTAGGAATTCCAATCATTTCTAACGTCTGACTTTCCTAACATTCTTAACATTCCATAAATTGCAAACATTCTCTAACGACCTGTCAAACAACAGCCGTTGATAGTAAAGGTGAGATTTCTAAGGCGGGTTGCGACCTTCATACTTGCAACCATAGCCATTTTGGAGACAATTTTTATTCGAAATTAGTCACCAAGCCTGCCAATTTATGAAAAATATGTAAGCAGTTTCTTAAAAATGACTTTTTTATGGTGGTGCTAACGTAAGCGTACTACTATTTCGCCCCTAACCACAAAAACACCATCAAATTTACTGGCTCTCTGTCGCAACCTCATAGAATAATTAACCGGCCATTTTATTTGGTAAAAATCAGAATAATTCTTGGCTGTGCCTGTCAAGTATCAAGATGTCAACTGTGATGTGTGAATGGCTTTTAAATGTCAAATTATTTAAAAATGTATGCTTCTTTTGATATTTATTGCAATTAATTTGTAGTGTATCTCAATTCAGGCTTTCCATAAATAAAGGTACAGCAAGACAGATAATACTGTTCTTATAATAATAATAATAATGTTTATTCATCTTAAAAACATACAAATATAATATTAAATAACAATATAAAGTACAAAGAATTAACAAACATAAAAAATCACAAAAGTAGTGTTAGACCACTTGTACGTGATATAATATTTAAATAGAAATAAAAAAAACGAACATGAAAATATATGTAAAATATTTTTTTTTTTTTTTTGTAAATATATGTTCCATTATCGAAATAAATTTGTATCTAAATAAATAAATTGTTTTGATTATTTTTTTAAAATTTTTGTTTTTTACCGTTTATCTATTGGGTGTATTGTACATTCCACAAGGAAAACCTGTCTGTGGTCCGTTAGTATAAAACCAATAAACATGATAAAA